TATACAGATGACCGGTAGGGTTCGAGGTAGGTCTAGGAAGGATAAGAGGCCTATTGATCATGAGGATAGTGATACACCCTCGCTTCCTTCCACTCCACACTTGCATCCATCCGCTGCTGATGGCCGGTATCAATCTTATAGGCACACATCGTTTCCACCATACCCATCTACTCATCAGACTACCTACCATTCACCCTCCCAGCAGTATTCTTACCATTCTCCACCACAGGGCTATACCCCGCTTCCTCCACATATCCTGTATATAGTTATATAGGTCCACCGAGTCAGCAGTCATAAGGCTATGTGGTTATATGCCTGTCATCTGCTCCGTTTGCTTCACCACCAGCTGGATCGCATCCATCTAGATTTCAGCCACCCAGATCGCAACAGTAATCTAGATCGCAGCATGGGTCTAGATCGTATCCATCTTCATCAGTAACCTCGTCTCCCACTCCACGGAGTTCGTCTCCTAGCATTTCTAGACTTCGCCTTCGGGATAGTAGCGCTGAACCAGATGCCTCCCTTTCTAATCACGCTTCAGATTCATCGGAGGATAATGATCCAGAGAAAATGCGATATGATCGTTATCATAGGATGATCATCAAACATGAGGGCAATGGGTAAGATTTATTTATTACTTCTTTATTTTTGCTGAATTATAATAGCTAGTCTTGTTTATTTATGTAATTGCTATGTTGCAGGTTCATACCTAGTCATCAGACTACAAAGATAATCACTGAAGCTCTTGGCCAGTTGTATGATGCACCCTATGCGACTTGGAGTAAATTTCAACCGGAGCTCGTAGAGCAAATTTTCAACCAATTTAAGGTTTTAATACAATTCTTATCTATTTAAGCATTATATTAACAATATTTTTATCTAACATTACACACTTCATTTGCAGACTAAGTGTGCCTAGGAGGACTAGCATAACAGTGCCATTCTTGCAAATTTTGAGTTCAAATGTCGTAAAAGACTATTTGATTCCTTCTATTCTGCTCGGAAGAAGAGCAAGAAGCCTTCATGGGTTCTACCGTATTTATGGGAGGATCTACTGAGGCAGTGGACCACTGAGAAATTCAAGAAGAGGAGTGAACAGGTAAAGAAGGCCCGAGCATCTGAGAAGGGTGGGTCCTTGCACTGTGTGGATGCAAGGAGCTGGGGACTGCGAGTAGACTACTAGTCATTCCTTAAGATATTTAAATCTATTTTTATCGAACTATATTTATATATTTTAATTTAGTTAACGTGTTTTATTATATTTGAAGGAAAAAACATATGGGAGGAAGATGACTCATGATGAGTTCTTCATGGAGACTCACATCCAGAAGAAGAAGGCACCGACAGATCCAACTAGATGGGTCGAGGACCTGGCGGAGACTACATATATAAGTTTCATAACTATTACAACTTGAAATTAATGTTTATAATATTATATAGTTAATAATTTTCTATCTTCTAAATAAAGGCTACAAAACTGCTGCGGATGAGTACACTCGGAGCTTGCCACCGAATGAGCAAGGCGAGCGACCTTCCATTTCAGACGAAAAAGCGCAGAAGATATGGTTAGATTTTGTCGGTGGTCCTAAAAAGGGGATAGCATACGGCCTTCCAGAGAGATCATTTCGGTGCTACAGGGCTGGATTGTAAGGTATAGGGACTTTCGCCTAGGACGAGACACTTGATAGGTTGACTCTCTCCGCTATGGAGAAGAAGATCGCAAAGTTGTCACCAGAGCTTGAAGAGGCAAAGGCTAGAGAAGAAAAGAGAGATAAATAATTTGATACCCTTCAAGGTCAGCTAGAAAAGAGGGACGAACAATTTAATTCCTTCAAGGTCAGCTGGCCATTCTTCTTGCTAGTGTTGCTTTCCCGATTCCCCGGTCTCGTGAGTTTTCCCTAGATGCTAATCCTTCTCGTTGTGATCCTTCGAACCATGCCGACGATGAAGCTTCTAGTAGTGGAGATGGAGATGAGGTAGTATAAAAAACTCATTGAATGATGTTTGAACTTTTAACTTGCGAAATATTTTGTTGTTGGATATTTTGAAACTCTATAAATATTGTTAATATAGTTTTGATAGTTGTTATTGTTGTTGTTATTATTGTTATTATTATTATTATTGGTTGAATGACAACAATGTAATGCTGCCATTATAGGTGATTGATTGTTGGCAGGTGGTGCAGCTGTAAAACAACTGTATTCTGCCAAAACTTACCCAGAAAATCGACCGAAGTCGGTCGGAAAGTTCAATTGAATTTCCCAGAAATTTAAAATTACCGACCGACTTCGGTCGGAATTTTTTGATTTTAAAGTTTAAATATTTTAATAATACCGACCGACTTCGGTCAGAAATTTTGATTTTAAAGTTTAAATATTTTAATAATACCGATCGAAATCGGTCTGAAATGAACAATTTTAAAAAAATATGAATAATTAAGATTCCGACCAATATCGGTCGCTAATTTAAAAATAATTAAAAATTATTTGCAAGAATACCGACCGAATTCGGTTGGTAAAGTTATTTTATGTCAGATTATTTGGTCAAAGTGTGTTGAAAATTACCGACCGACTTCGGTCGAAAATATCGACCGTATGCGGTCGCCTCGTATTAGCGACCATTATTTTTTTTGACGAATTGAAATAGGTCGGAAATCGGTCGATTTGTGTTCGATTCTAGCCGATTTCGATCGGTTTTTCTGGACGTTTTTTGACAGTTTTCTAGTGATTGTTTTGTTTTATTAATAATTAAATTGAACGTGCGTAAATTAATTATTAGCTCTCCCACTATGATTAACTTGTTGTCAAGGAGAGATCATGATGTGGTATCAATTAATGCTGGAAAGGGTTGTAAGATATTAATTAAGTTTGTTGTTATCCTGAAAGTATTCATCCGATAGTTGCACCAAAGTCGTGCTATTAAACTATTCATCTTGAGGAACATGGGCATAGTACTTACTGTTCCAATGTGTGAATATCAAATGAAGAAGATTCACATAATCAGTTGATTAATACACGACATAAATTGTTAAGTAAGAAGAGGGAAAAACAAAATCCTTTCCAGTAGGCCCATGCAACATGAAGCTATGGAAGTGGATATAGATAGCGGTTCCATATTTTGAGTCGGTAAGTGACAAAAGTTTGCACCATTAATTTACTGCATAGACTTAATATAAATGTTTACGTATTTTATAAAATTTCAAAACTACATAAATAGTAGTAATTAATTAATGAGAAGGAAAAAAATGAATCTGCCAAAAAGCCCAACCCTGCTCTTTCTTCTTAATTTGTTGATAAAAGAAATATATCTTAGATCTTACTCAACCTCAAAACTAGTTCATGAGATGATATTGTTCAAAATCATATAAGTAGTTGTGCCGACATGGGACTCAACACCAGGGGTGGCCCAATCCTAAACACTTGCTTTAGGCCCCAAAAATTTTAATGCCCCAAAACTACTAGTATTCTTTATATATAGTAGTATATTATTTATATAATTATCTTTTATTATTGATAAATTTATTTCTTTATTGTCATATTAATTTTTAATAATTCGATTTCTTCCTTTAATTAATATAACTAAAATAATTTTCTGTCAATCTTATTTTACTTTTTTACTTAATTATATTTCTCTATTCATTAGTTGGTCATGTAACTATATCTAATAATCTAACTTATTATTTATTTTTCTTACATAAATTATACTCTCTCCGTCCCAATTTATATGAACGTGTTTGACTGGACATGGATTTTATGAAATAAAGAAAAGCTTTTGAAACTTGTAATCTTAAATAAATCATAGAAGTTTTTGGGCTAGAAATCATCTCAATAATGGTAAAAAGAAAAATCTAAAGTTGAATTGTTACCAAATATAGAAAGGGACTTACTAAAAAAAAGGAGTCACTTATGTTTTCTGGATTCTCCCATTTCAGTTGTGATGCAATCAACGTTAAANTATATATATATATATATATATAAGGCCTCTTATTAAGATTTTGCTTTAGGCCTCCAATGAGGTTGGGCCGCCCCTGCTCAACACCCCCATATATATGCCCAGGCCTGAACATCTAGTGAGGGATCTAATACCATGATAAAGGAATGAACCTTGGGCATAACTCAACTTCAAAAACTAACTCGTGAGGTGAGACTAATACAAAATCATATAATGAGACCAAGAAAATTACACCCCACCGATATGGGACTCAACATCTGTTAAACTACAGAACCCCAGAAATCTGCAAAATAACTATCGGAGATCTCATATAGATGGAGGTCTTTTTCCAGTGAAATTTCAAAATACTATTTGCAAAATCTCCTTTTTTCCCCCTATTTCCCTTACCATGTAAATGCAGATTTTATACCTCCGCTTATACCGTCACTTGTTAATTTTTTTGCCTGCTGAAATTTTGGAATAAAATATATATTACCTAAAACATCACAGATCACACAAACATACATTTAGTCTATTTATAGAAATTTTGCAAAATCTGCATAATTACCTAGCTAGGAGCACAAGATTTTTTATGAGAAGTTCATCGGGTAATTATTAGGTAGCAAGAAGTTATGTGTGTTGACATCTTCCACTCACTGAGGCCTCTCTTGACCATAGAAGTTGTCCAAAATTGCTCAGATGACAACTGTACAATTAATGCATCTGTTTAGTGCATCTTATCTTAGTAATTAAGTTGTTATATATGATGTCACATAATTGATGTAGAATTAATTATTTTTGGGGTCAGAGCAATATTTAGCTTCTTAGTTTGATCATCTACTGTAGTTGTACTTATATGCATAGGCGATACTATATCGATCTATTATCACAATTAGAACACAAAAAACTCCTCAATTACGAAAAAAACAAATACAAAGGATCAAAATTACGTTGCATAGTAAAAATAATTTTATTCATTTTTTTGGTTTAGCACACACGATTTTTGTTAAATAGAAACAACAAGAGAACAGAAGCAATAAGAATTATAGTGGATGCAACAAGCTCTTCAATTATTTGGCAAATCCAGATGCTAGCAGCTCAAGCTCATGTTCAAAAACTGACATGCTGTTTTCATCCTTTAAGCATACCAATGCGTCTATTCCACCACTATCTCTTGAATCCATCAATATAACTTGATTTCTTGTTCCCGTTTGAATTACACTAAACCATGAAGGTTTTCCCCAGCCAAAATCAACATCATAAAATTGGTAGCCACACACACTACTAATTTGCATCGCTATTTCGCCTTGGAAATGCGCGTCAGTTAGCTCCAAGAAGTCATGTGGAATGGCCAAAATTGCCTCATCTCGATTTTGTTTATCCACATATTTGGAACTCAATTCTGATAATGATTTTCTTATACAAGTGACCAAGGTGGATAAGTCAGACCCATCCTTGTCACCTTTACATGCTGTGGCGATTGCAATAGCATTTCCTACACAATGGTTTGGCAATGGAGGGACAAACCGCTTTCGTATATTTACTTGGTGCGCAAACTTTGATGACCTTGTCTCAGTCCCTGAAGCAGCCATGGCACTTTTCCAGATCACAGCTGATACTACTTCAACCCGTGTGGGAACTGCTACATCATCATTACAGACGGCTTTAGCCTTGAGCGAGGCTATAGTTGAAGCATCAAAGGTAAACAATTTAGTGACACGTTGCTCGTTATAAAAGAACTTGGTAAAGTCAAACTGAAACTTAGGCGCGTTTAAAACATAGGGAATAGGTGGTGGTAAGAATTTTGCAGTTGCTACGAATTCTGGGGGTAGCACACAATCGGGGCTATCTCGAGTAGTTATTGCCCAAGCATTGGCAAGGGTGCACAATGTGGCTCCATCAGCAACTTTGTGAAAAGCAGACATACCAATAGCCATACCTCCACACTCGAACATTGTGACTTGAACAAGTAAGGGAAAACAAGAATAATGTAATACTGAGCTACCTTCAACACTAGGGAGGAAATGTTTAGTTACGTCAAATTTTCTATGAATATCTTCAAACTGATAATTATGAGCAAAAGCCTCGTAGAAAGGTACCCCATCGTCGTTGCACTCAATTAAGTAGCCCTTAATTCGACCAGCAAAAGGGTAAAAACGAGCAAGAGTTTCAGACAAAGATTTCTTCAAAAGGAGTAATCTTGATGAATTGGCTGCCCTTGCTTCCTCAAGATTGGAATAGGATTCATGATCACCGCCAGTCGAATGAGAAGAAGGGGGAGGATAAAATAGAGCTAAGGGAGCAAATACGGGTATTGCCATTTGATCCAAATAAGAAAATTCAAAGCATCTAAGGTGATCAGGAGTGGGAGAAGTAGGTCGAATGAGCTCCATAGAAACTATCTCAATCTTTCTTTCCATGCCTAACTTTTGTTTTCTGGCTACTTTTGTCTTTGGTTGTTCCCTCAATTATATATGCAGCTGTTATAATTTGCTTACATATATAGTGATGTATCAAGTTTGTGTTTTGCCCTCCCATCTATTATCAACTTGCAGGCTATGGTAGATGGGGTGCCATATGATATTCTAGCTTTTATTTTTTATGATAAGTATATATCATGCATGTATTAATTGCTCGAATGAGTTGTAAACGGTTGTCTTATTCTTAAATTTATCCTGGATATATAGTCTGCCCTCCCACTATTATTAACTTGTAGTCAACGAGAAATGTGATTTGGATATGTCGATCTGCTAGTATAATTTTTCTGATCATCAAACTGCTAATATTAGTAAACGAGCTAGCACGACTGTCACGAAAGATTAACTCATTAAATAGCCTATCTAAATGAACAGATCAGATTGTCGGTTAATCTAAGAGCATTGTTTGACCAAAAAGTATAACTTTCGATTAAACTATTGTATTTATATAATTAAGGGTTAAACCTAGTTAATGATAATATATCTAAATGCGAATCTTGAAAGTGTGGATAATGTGGGATAGATATTGTGGGAGATTGACAATAGTAATCATTAAATATTCCATAAAGTATGAGCAATAATAGAGGAGCAACCAACAAATGAAAAAGTAAGGAATAATACCAACAAGAATCTTGATGAAAAGGTAATGTTTGTATCTTTGCTAGAGAGAGAATCTTTTTCCGAAATTCGTTCTTATCACCTGAATATTACCTATATTTTTTCTTCTCTTTTTTCCTCCTTAATCTATTCTTCAGAATATTCCTTCTATTAATCTATTCTAAAAATTAATTGTTACAACTCTTTCCGCGGATCTCGTACTCGACCATTGTAAGCGTCCCGACCCCGAGCTTCGCCATTTTCTTATCGACCTCGACTGATTCTTCCCTCAATACTTCCTTGCCATAAATGTTCTGTGGTAGATTTCGACCTATACAGTTAGTCCCTCTACTTATTGAGGCCGTCCTCAGACGACCTCGATGAGCGGACTTTGTTGGCTATGGTCGAGGAGAATGGACGAGTGGGTCGAGCAGTTAAGTTTAGGATGAGCTGGCAACGTGGCCTTTCATGAGCTGCAACTTTTAGGGGTTACGTCGTTTCTGCACTAAAATGACGTCATGACATCATGCGTCATTATGACGCATTTTTCCGATGCTTTGCATCGTTTCCCGTGCGACTGTCAGTTGGGGTTGTCGTTTCGATTCCAGTGCTGGGTAATGATGGCATAATCTCTTATTTTTTAAGCCTGAATTCTTATAAATAGCGGTGTGATTACCTTCATTTGTTCTTTACGTGTTTTTCTCATCAAAACCTTGCGCCTTCTTCTCATTTCTCCATTATTGTTTGTCTTCTCTCCTTGTCTTAGTGATTCTTTCTGCTTCTAATCCTTTTTTACTTGAATATCCTTTCTCTCGTCAAAATTATGGCTAACGTACCCTCTGGTACTGATGTGGGAACTGACCCCATCCCTTTGGCGGTGCTTATGCCTCCTCATGTTGATGGCATCTCTGTCGCCATTGAAGATGAGAACTTTCCTATGATGGAGGAAATAATCCCTCGTGGCGAGAAAGTTAGATCTGACTTTTCGAAGGCGCCTGAGGACGAGCCTGAGGTTTCTGAGTTGGCGATGAAAGAGGCCGATCTAGCAGAGCTTAGGGCAAAATTCAACATCCATGCCCGCGTTGATTTGGTCCCAGCAGAGCATGATGTGGTACAAGTCCACCGCCCTGGATATTGCGTGTTCTATGCATATCACTTCCAGGTCGGCTACGCTCTTCCTCTTCCCCCATTGGCGGAGGAATTCTGTCGTTACTATGGCGTGTGCCCGTCTCAACTCGCCCCTTATATCTATAAGCTCATCATGATGCTTACTAAATTTACGGAGTTAGCCGGGGTAGAGATCACACTCTGGCATTTGATGCATCTCTTCCCCCCTAGCTTCTATAGGGGTACAATGCTGAACCTTCGCCGTCGAGGAGGAAAATGCCCGGTAGTGAAGATGGATGACAAAGCAAATCATTAGTTATGGCACAACTTTTTCTTCGTCAGAACCAAAGACGTGGTGGCCAACGCGGACGACTTCCTCGAACTTGGAATTACACTCGTAGGTGTCTCTTTTTTTTTGTTACAACATTTGATCTGTCCATTTTAGTCGTAGGCTCTGAAATTTTATTCCGTCTTCGTATAGCCAAGACTACGCCCACTCCTTTAGTCAGCGATATTTTTGACTGGGTTGGCCGGGTTCTACCTCACACCGTGGGAATTCGCGAGTGGCCGGGCTTTTTAAGAAGTTTGGGCCTGCTCCTTCCTTGGACGGTGAATTTGTTTGTATATATAATTTTATTATTTTGGCCTCATGGTCGCCTACTTATTGTAGTTTGCTCTTGGTGGTATTGATTACCTTATTTTGATTTTTCTTTTTCAGCCCGAGGATCTTCGAGGAGGCCGAAGGCTACCCCTCCTGCATTTCATAAGAGGAAGGCTGCCTCCTCTTCGATGACTATTCCCGCTGTGACCGTGGCTAGGCCTGCTCGATCATCTACTTTCATTCCTTCCTCAACCGCGGCCAGATCTGCTCGGTCGTCGTCCCCGTCTGATGCTGCCTCAGTATCAGTTTCATCTCTGCCTGCAGGTATTTTGACAGCGGAGCTTCCGGCTTCCCCCTTGCACCGCCTTGTGGACGAGGAAGGGGAGTCGTCGCCAAGCGGCATCTGATTTGAGGACTATAATACTTGAGGACGACGTCAAACTGGCATCTGATTTTCTGATGTCGGCGGAGGCTGTTGAGGGCATTCCTCTTCCTTTTGCAGCGGTAACAGCCAAAGGGCCGGCCGCTGTGGCTTCTGATAATTTGCGGTAGGAGGGGCCGTCGACTTTGCAGCCGGCTAAAGATGCTTCTTTTTTGGCTGATAGGAGAGGCAAAGGCATTGCCTAGAATGGATACAAGACGGGTTCTGATCTCGATGCTGACGAGATGAGGATGATGGAAGAGGGATTCACCCAGCTGGAAGTGAGACTGGAGGGGTCCACACGGACTATTGCGATCCCCATGGATCGGGATCTATTAAAAGATACAGAGAATGTGGTTCCTGCCCTCGATACCCTTTGCTCTGATGTGGAGGGTAGAACTCTCAAAGAGCTGAATGATGCTACCTTATCGAGGAGCATAGCCGACCTCGCTCTCAGGGTAAGTTATTGATGTTTCTTGTTTGTGTTCGTTATGCTCGATGTTTAGGGTTTGTTTTTACTCTATCTGTTTTATTTTTCTTTCTTTTTTAGACCGTGATCTTGGAGATCGAAAGCGCCCAAATAGAGGAGCGGCATAAGGCTATTTTTATGAAGTTTTGGCGAAAATACCACGAGGACCGTGGCAAGCACCGGGAAATTTTTAGGCGGTTTGGTGAGAGCGAAATTTCCAGGCTCTTCAAGACGAACTGAAGGAGAAAGATGACGAGCTGGTGAGGGTCATCGAAAAGTGCAGCGTCCTTGAGGGGACGTTAAGGAATAAAGAGGAAGAGCTCGAGGTTACTAGGGGGCGAAGCCCAGTGCAGCGACCTCCAAGCCCAAGTGGTTTCTCTACGCGCTCAACTTGAGGAGTGGCAATTCAAAGCGGATTCTCTAATCGGCGAGGTCGCCGAGAAGGCAGAGGACCTTGAGAAAGTAGAGTTTGCTCAGTCGAAGGCTCTGAGGAAGGCGAAATCTTTGGAGGTAGTGATCCGTATACTTCGCTCTGAGGGAGAAAGTGACTTGGAGACGACCAGGCTTAAAGAAGAGCAGCTTGACGAGAGGATCGGTGAGTTGGAGAAAGACAACTCCCTCACTTCAGGACCAGGTAACCGCCTTAGAGGCCAAGAAGGCTCAAACGCTTGCGCAGCTGTCATCTTCTCATACTTTAGATTTCCCAAACGTTCCCCAGGGCTTGTACGAGGAAGGGATTCACGCTGAGGCCCAGATGGACGTATTCCGAGATCTGCATGAGGCGGGATCTGTTCCTGGGGATGACCTTGAAGATGCTCGTGTTAAGTCTCGTGAAGCTCGAATCACTTGCGGGTATGAACCTGCTATGCTAGAAGCCGGTGACGATAAGAGGGACATGGATGTGGATTAGATTGAAAAGTACACCTGGTATGAGGATGCGTACCCTGAGGGCGATGGTGATGGTGGGGGGGAAGATGGGGACAGCCCAGATGGTCATGCCGATGACACTGATGGTCCTGGTGGCGACCAATATTCTTTCTTTTTCCTTCATTTATTTTGCTACAAACTTGTGCATTTTTGTAGGCATCTTTACAAGCCTTTGTAAAAATATTCTAAATATTAAATGCCGACTTTGTTATTTGTACCTGATTCTTTTTCTTTGGTTCGCGCTTGTATGCTTTTTGATTTTCTTAGTTGTAATCACTTAACTCGGACAAGGTTGAACACGTCCTAAGTTTAATTACGGTCAAGGATCAATATGTGTTAGTTCGAACGAGGTCGAATATAACCTATGTTTGGTTATGGCTGAGGGCTAGTAAGGTGTTAATTCGAACGAGGTCAAATGTAACCTATGTTTAGTTATGGCTGAGGGCCAGTTAGGTATTAATTAGAACGAGGTCGAATGTAACCTATGTTTAGTTATGGTCGAGGGCCAGTTAGGTGTTAATTCGAATGAGGTCGAATGTAACCTATGTTTAGTTATGGCTGAGGGCCAGTTAGGTATTAATTAGAACGAGGTCGAATGTAACCTATGTTTAGTTATGGTCGAGGGCCAGTTAGGTGTTAATTCGAATGAGGTCGAATGTAACCTATGTTTAGTTATAGTCGAGGGCAAGTTAGGTGTTAATTTGAATGAGGTCGAATGTAACCTATGTTTGGTTATGGCCGAGGGCCAGTTAGGTGTTAATTCGAACGAGGTCGAATGTAACCTATGTTTAGTTATAGTCGAGGGCAAGTTAGGTGTTAAT